TTTTTAAAACCTATTTTAATTAAATCAAATGGGTTAAATGGAGTAGGGAAGGTTCTAGAGTGTATAATATATCTCTTAGGTCTAAGGAATTGGACAAAATGGATTTGAAAATAATTTTATAAATTATTTAAGAATGAATCAGTATAAAAGCATACAGCTTAGCATACTGATAAGGGATGGAAAGAACCAAATTGCTTAGTTAAATTTTGGGCAACATAATGGATTGTAATAAGATTATAAATCTTATATTTGGATGCATCATAGATCATTTTATGTTTAAAGTTTGAACTATGCATATTCTGGATGTTAATTGTTAGAATATCAAATTCTTTAATGCAATTACATGAATTAATGCTGGGATGTATATTGCTGAAATTTTAAATACTTTTCTGTAATGATATGGATAATGGTTTAGATTGTAAATTACTAGCTTATTATGCATGTGTTGTAATTTACAAAGATAAGGAAGATTGTATGCACCGGTATGGGACATGTGTTGTAATTTACAAAGATAAGGAAGATTGTATGCACCGGTATGGGACGGTGACATACTAGGGATGGTTTAGCTCAAAACGCTTAAACCTAACCCATCGGATTAAAGGAATGGATTGAAAAATATTGAATCCTAATTGTGACTAAGTCAGATCAACTGTGACTAAGTTGAATGGCTTCCTGGATTAATGGATAGTAGTTAAGTCATATCAACTGAATAAGTTGAGTGACTAACTAATTTGTATATTGTATGTTATCTTAATAAGTATTTGAATGACATACCCTGGTTTTGGATGGACTTTATATATATGTTTATGGTACCACGAGATGAGCTTGAGTCTCAGACTCGTTGGTTAGGGTGCGTATATGCAGTGGATGCGTAACTGGTTAAAGTAGGTTAAGGTGTACCCTGTTAGGTCTAGGTACTCATGCCCACCTTTGGGTGCGTTTTCGCATGTTGCCTTCTATTCAGGTTAAGACCCCTACTGTAGTCCAGTGAATGTCCCTTAGTGTGGATATATATATGTATGGACTAGATAGATATTGTTGAGTTATCTAGGATGTATCTGCGTATCGGATTACTGTTTGGATCGTAGTAAAATAGGACTTGCATGTGGGCCTAATCCACTCTTTATTTTCCAGGTGTTCGTCAGTTCCAGGGTTAGAGCTTGGACGTGCAGAGCAGATACAGACACTCACTCCTCCGTTTACGTAAGACTACTCTCTATGTTTAGCTTTATGTTTCATTTCAGTTATTTCAGTTTCAGTTTGAGATTTTATTAGGGGTCCACAAAGATGGATTCCCGAGTTGTTAAACTTATGGAGTTTTGGATTATCGGATTTTAATAATTTTAGCTTGAGGATTTTTAATTTAGAATTCTTTCAGCGTTATTATTTATTTTCTTTATTATTTTGTGATCCGTGTTAATTTTAAAATACTTTAATTGTATGATATCCCTCGGGTTTGGGCCTGTGTCTGATCAACCCGCGTCTCGGATCTGAGAGGTATCACACTTGCGATGGAGGGTGGGTACAGGTGATAGTGTTAATGTATGGACAGACCCTTAGGTTCCAAATTTGCCAAGATTCAACATTATTTCAACTTGTCCTGAAGGTTTCTCTGTTAAACTTGTTAGAAAGAGAGAGAGAGAGAGAGAGAGAGAGAGAGAGGGGGGGGGAGTTCAAATCTAAGAATGAAAGGCAAGTTTAGAGTCGAAAGAATAGAGATGGAGGCGAAGTTCAGATCTGAGAACGAAAGGCAGGTTCAGAGTCGAGAGAATAGAGATGAAGGCGAAGTTCAGATTTGAGAATGAAAGGCAAGTTCAGAGTCGAGAGAATAGAGATGGAGGAGAAGTTCAAATCTAAGAGAATAGTGAGAACGAAAGGCAAGTTCATACACGTGGCTGATTGTAGTAGGCCTTTAGTTTAAAATGACTAATTAAATATATAATTACATATATATATATATACACACACACACACACAGAGTTTCGGTTCTTACCGGTTCCCACGGGCTGGAACCGAAACTGGAACCATACACTCATGGTTCCGAAATTAAGAACCGGGACCGGAACCAAAACTGTGAGAACCAGGAAAAACGGTTCCGGTTCCACGGTTCTGGTTCTTTTGTGCACCCCTACCTATGTTACATTTGAACAATTAAAACATAAATTACAATTTCAATGCAATTTAACTAACATTGGAACTTCCAATACAACGCAACAAAATATAGATTGTCAAAGTGATCCATTTGAAACCTAAAGTGCGTAAACAATTTAGTAAAAGTAGAAATTCTAATACAACGCATCAAGACATAGATTATCAAAGTTAACAACTTGAAATCTAAAATACGGAAAACAACTAAATATAACAATTTATAATTGGAACTTCTAATACAACGCATCAAGACATAGATTATCAAAGTTATCAACTTGAAATCTAAAATACGAAAACAACAAGTTATAACAATTTAGTTCTATTAACTTGTAACGAAAAACAAAATCAACAAAGGTGAATACTTGGACATCGATCGAATCACACAGGGCTACTAACCCATGGGCAGCCTACCCTACGTGCGCACTAGACTCATAGGGAGAGCTCTCATCCCCCGTACTAGAACCATGTCCTAGCCGTAGTTAAACATTTGATATCCCAAGTTTCCAAAATCAAGAAGTTGTGCAACAACGTATATATCATCATGTATTTACAAGATAAAAGCTATCTACCATGCACAATTCAATTTTGAAAACACAGAACACATGCTCTAAGTCCATAATTACTATGTCATGAAAAATGTTGAATCTTCAGTGTGCGATTCGTTACACGCTATAACAATATTATTCAATATTGAAAACATAATCTCATGAATAATAATACAAGCCTAGAATCATGATTTAAACATACAATTAACGTCAAATACATGATTAAATCATTAATACAATAAAATCGGAAATTAATTAAATAAACTAATTAATTTCTCTATATTTCAAATCTCATCCAATTAATCCCTAATTAACATATATGTCAAGATCATAGCATGATCATTACATTTATCAAATCAAAACTTAATTAGGTCCTTGAAACAACAAAATAGAATTTAATTAAAACATGATAATTAAATCTCTAAATTCTAAAGCAACTCCAAATGGCCCCAATTTAATACATGCTAGTAAACAAGTTCTAGTCATTACAAATATCAAGTTAAAAACTTAATCAAATCAATGGAACCATTAAATATATTTTAATTAATTCGTTTAATTAAAATCTCTAGATTTTAAAATTTATCCAAATGCTCTTAAATTAAAATATGTTAAAGAATATGCCAAGTCCTAATTTAATAGCATATCACAAGTTAATTCCATACTAGATACAACTAGGTGAATTAAAATTTCATATAAGAAAATAATTAAATAAAATTTTCAATACTCATTTAAATATTCTCAATTTAATATACGTTAATGAACATATCAAAGCCTAATTTAATATCACATTACAAGTTAATTCCATACTAGGTATAACCATGTGAATTAAATTTCATACAAAGAAAATAATTAAATAAAAGTCTCAAAACTTATCCGAATATTCTCAATTTAATATATGTTAATGAACATATCAAGGTCTGATTTAATAGCTAGCATGCTAAAAGTTAATTTCACACTATATACAACTATGTGAATTAAACTTTATACAAATAAAATAATTAAATTAAATTCTAGAATAAATACAAAAGCATGCATACAAGTTGTATAAGTTTGGAAAACATTCAATACAACAAATATATAAACCTAAAACTTCTTCTACCTCCATTTGAGATGAAAATCTCAAAAGCCGCCTAAAGGAAACCGTTCCGAATTCGACGATACTTCGGAGTTATGTTGGGGACAACGAGGGAAGCAACTATCACCCTTGAGGCATCACCAAAATCCAAACCCGAACTCGAACCCGAACTAAAAAATGGTCGAAACCGGATTCTAATAGAGGAAAAACGAAGATCTCGCACAGCCCAACAATAAAGTATTAATCATCGAGGCAAAAATCAAAAGTGAATAATGTCGAAAAAAAAAAATGTGGAAATGACGAAAAATGAATAATGTCGAAAAAAGAAAATATTAAAATGACGCGATCCTTGTAAGGAAGTTGTCAATTCAAAGGAAGGAATCTCGGAAACCATTCCCGAACACTCGAGACGACACCAAGTAATAAGAAACCGAATTCGAAAAAGAAAAATCAACGGAAAAAAAAATATATATATCCGTAAAATTTAAGGAAAAAAAAAAAAAATGACCAGATCATTACAACTAAATTATATACGGTAGAGCCAACCTTGTGCCAATGAATTACTAAGATTGGTTGGTATAACTACAAACATATTAGATGCGAAGGTATCACTAGCCTTGTATTAGATGCGAAGGTATATTTTGTTATTAGAACTTTTGCTTTCAGTTTGGGAGAATAGAAATGGAAGGAAAATAAAAGAATAGTAATGGAAGAAAATAAAAAAATATGTTTGATATTCATTAAAATAGTTTCATTTTCTTTCTTTTTTCAAACATGATTATTATATTAAATAATTAATATTATCATTATTTTTTTTAATTAATATTATTCTATTATTAATTTTTTGTTTTTTTAACTAATGTTATTTTTTTTTTTTTTGTCTTTCCAACTATACCAAACGTTGCCTCAATGTTAGTAGAAAAATATTCAGGGGGCAATTCTCTCTCCGTCCCTGTTTGCCGCTATGGCGCTACTACAAATGAAATATACTTGTCTTAATTGAAGAATTTAACACATCTGAATTGAAACTTCTTTTTTTTTTTAACGGCATCTTAATTGTAACTGAGACAGAGGGATATTGTGCTTACTTGGCATGTATATCTCCAAGTGTTGAAATTTGGATGGGCTTATCTCCAAGTGTTGGATATTGTGCTTACTTGGCATCACCTAATTGGTGGAGACTTATTGAACAACAAGAAAAAGATTTCATTTGATGAAAGCCTATGGATCTTATTTTGTCTTCTAAAATGTTATCCTCTTTCTGACTCATCCAAATTAAGCCACCACCTTCTTGCTACTCTGATACTGAAAAAATAATACATACTTAGAGAGAGAGAGAAGAAGAAGAAGGTAGAGAGTGAAAGAGAGGAGTGGCCATGGCTACCTGTAACATGGCTTCAGCTGCAGCTGGGCTTGTGCTCACATCCACTGCTTTGACATCAAGTTCTTCTACTAGAACTAGTATAAGCTTCTCTGTTAAGAACAATAACATTAGTTCAAGAAGGCTTGTGGTCCGCGCTTGCGAGGAAGTGGCACCACCGCCGGCTGCAACCACCACGGAGGCACCGCCCAAGGCCGCGGAGGCGCCTCCCAAGGCTGCTCCTAAGCCACCACCAATTGGGCCCAAAAGGGGCACTAAGGTATTTATATATAATTTTCTTGCTTTTACTTTTTGGACTAGGGTCAATTGTTGGAGGATATAAATATTTTAATTACACCCTCTAACATTTTAAACTTTTAGAGTGTACGGATTGAATTCAATTCAAACACAATTTGGCACATTCCATTTATAGATAAATTGTTTAATTCAAAATTAATTTTCACTCAAATTATTATAATTGATACCCATATTACACTTAAAGTGTGTGGACATGATCGTTTCTTCTCAAACAATATGATCTTTTATCTATTTATTTATTTATATATGTATGTATTTTAAAAGTTGGTGGCCTCTAATAAAGGGTACAAGTACAATAGTGTTGAAGTGTAAAATCCTAACGTTCGGGCTAAGGATTTTTTATTTTTATTTTTATTTTTATTTATTTATTTTTTCTCCTCCTAATAAATAACTTCCACAATGTTGAAGTTATTTGTTAGGTTGAAAAAAAGTTATTGTTAAGAAGAAAAAAAAAATTCCACAATATCCTTGAGGATCTTCAAAAGTCACTCGAACATTAATTAGAAGTTACTTAAAAAAAAAAAAAAAAAAAACTTCCACAATATTTTTGAGAAGACTTAAATCTTTAACAGTGACTCGAACGTTATTAGTGTAAATATTGTTTAATACAAACACAACCTACCGATTAACATTACTCGTCTAATGTATTAAATAAGACGATTAAAAGTTTCAACATAGAACATGAGGATCAGTCTGTTACATTTATCCTTTCTTTTTTTTTTTTTTTCTTTTTCTTTCTTAAGGTACACCCAATAACATTCGCATTATTTAAGTTAAGAGTGCGATTCAAAAACGAAATTTCAAGAATTTACCTCTCGAATTCCTGTCAACCCCGTTATGTTCTTGGAAACACATTTATGCCCTTGTTTAACTTGTAGATATAATGTCATGATGATTAATGCATTTTCTAACATGTAAAATGCAAATTAGTATCGAACACACAAATCATACAATGTAATATCCAACATATTTTGCATAAACCAACATAATGTACGTATATGCAACGCACTGTCTAATTCTTGAATATTAACCACTTCGATATGGTTCAAGTTAAAATAAGTCTCGTGTTGACCCAACACATGTAGTTAATCAAGTCAAATCATGTTAAACGAATTGAGTATCCAAACATAAACACCACCTAATATAAATCAAATTGTGTTACACAAGTTTTGACACTTTCGAGTGCCTCCTAGGCGAAACCAGAGTGTAATATAAGAAATTAAATGATGCACAAAATATTGAAGTCAACATGCAACTAGTTTGTTTATAATGTGTGATATTCTGCTTCCACAGGTGAGAATTCTAAGGAAGGAATCTTACTGGTACAAAGGCATTGGATCTGTTGTTGCAGTTGATCAGGTTTTGTCTCTCTTCAATTTCTAGTATATTATTACTCTCTCTCTCTCTCTCTCTCTCTCTCTCTCTCTCTCTCTCCAATTTATAATATATTGATACATATTAATTGGCGGGAACAGGACCCCAAGACTCGGTATCCAGTTGTGGTTCGATTCAACAAAGTCAACTATGCCAATGTATCCACTAACAACTATGCATTTGACGAGATTGAAGAAGTTGAGTGAGCTAAAGTTTTAAGTGACCATTTTGTGTGAAACCTTATTCTGTATAATATATACTTTATTCGTATCCCTTTTCTTTAGCATGTTTCTAATTAATCATTATATATATATTCACTATAATTGAACAACAATTAAAGATTGTTAGAACCACACCAATTGAAGTTTGAGACATCATCTTTTGGAAATTGAAAAAATTGAATAGTTAATTAGTAAGGCAAATTTTTTAAATTCGTTCTAAAATTAGGAACTTATGAAGGAATGAAGGTGGTAAAATGACTTTACTTGTCTCATTCTTGGAAATTTTGGGAGGTTAATTCTTGTTGCCATGCCAAGAATTTGGGTTACTGGAAAACATATAAAATGAGTCAATTTAAAAATATATATAAAATAAAATAAAACTATTTTTAATATAAAGATTTCTAATGAGTGTGTAAAAGAAAAACATGTATCTTGTTGGGATTTTCAAACAATCAAATAAGATTGAATAAATTGTACTGACCTTCTTTGTGGTTTGAACAAATTATACACGGAAAGATCGTTCAATATTTTAACGTTTATTATTTTGACGTTCATTGAAATTTGACGTGTAGTCAATTACACCGTATTTTTTGGGCTAATTTGTTGACTAAATTTTATAAAATGACAATTTTGTTCTTCTATGAAACTCAAGGTATTATTGACTTTTCATACTCAAAATTACCGCAAATAAGTTTTGTATGTGTGACGGGATATTACTGTACAAATGTACTACGCCACATGGCTGTATCCAATTGATGAGGAACATTAAAGTAAAAATGAAACAGAGTGAAACAATTTCCTAGGAATGTACTAATGATTCATTTGAAGATGGAGTAAATGAGGATTTTACTAATTTTCAACTGCAAGAATCATCAATTCAAGAGATGAAACTTGAAAGTTATAAATAGGACCAAAATATCTTCTGCAATCGTACACAACGAAAACTTCCATTGAATGTGACATCCCCACAAATATCGCTAAAATTTGCTTTATTTTCTTTCACGTGGGGAGAGTTTGGGATTTGATTTGAAAAAATGTTGAGATGTGCGTTTTAGAGATGGAAAGTGCTACCCAGGCGGACAAGTTGGTCAGAATTTCTTGATTGACAATAGGTTGTGAAATTCTCTACAAATCCTAGCTAGACTTCAAAAACATGCATTTTTCTTCAAAAATTAAACTATGACGACGCTGTCCGCGTGAATATACCTGTTGAACCAGGGGTGAAGCCAGTTTGTGTCCAGAAGAGGGGGCACATGCCCCTGGCCCGCCCGCTTGCCCCCCTATGTACATATATTATTTTTATTTTATTTTTTACATGTATATATAGAAATTAGTATATTATATTCTCTTAAAATTATTAGTTTTCAAATTTTTTTAAACTTTTTTTATTTTTTCTTTTTTCTCTTTAAATTTTTTTAATTACTTTTTAAAAAAGTCAAAATTCTCTTATCTAATCATGCTCTAATTTGTTTTCTCAAAGTTCATTTTTTTTTTTCTTTCTTCTTATTCTTATATTTAAAAAAAAAAAAAAAAATTCCCACCATGCTCCCCTAAATTCAAATTCTGCCCCTATGCCTATTAAAGCTCTGGATTCAACAACTAAGAAAATAAAAACATGAAAAAGACATAATAATTTTATTTATCTATTAATGCATATATTTTGATATTGAGAGGAACTTTGCATAATTTCAAGGAATTTGTAATATTTTCCAAGTTTCTTCTTAGCTAATGATGTTCCCCATTTTTTTTTTTTTATTCTATTTTATGGTGGTAGATGTCTCTGGCTTAGCTAAACGTTTCAGCTACCTGTGATGTCTGAAAAAGGATAGTTAACTTTCCTTGGCCGTTAAAAATACAATAATGCAGCAACCCACAAGTACAATTGTCAATAGTCATACAAGTATCCTCCAAGTCATATATACCCGCCACTGTGTTTATTAGATACACACATATATATACACATGTATGTAGAGAAAGAGAGACTCTCTCTAGAGGGTGTGACATCAATAGATTTATGGGATACGTCTAGTTAGGTGATACCATAATAAATCTTATTGAAGAGTCGCCATTGCTACAACTGCTTGCCTTAAAAGCAAGTCCAGTTTGCAAGGACTATATTGGCCTTGTTCATCTCCCCGTAAAGTCCAGCTTTTTTTATTAATTTTTATTAATTGGGTTAGGTAAATTACTCATGTTTAGTCGTTTAAGGATATTCAAATTATGTGCCAAACGTTCATTCATTTCAATCAGATTCGCACCAATTACGAATTTATAAATAAGAAATTCGTAGTTCATGGATCGATTAAGATCTATAAAACCGAAAGTTCCTCTCCTTATATGTAAAAGTATTCTCCATAATGCAAGGTTATTTGAGTCATTAGACATAAACCACCGAGTCAATTACATAGTTTTAGATTGGAGAGTTAAAGAAATTAGCAACTAGTTTTAAGTTGAATCAGCGACAAAGAGGCATGCAACTGCCCGGAATTCGAGAATAGAAGCTTTAATATCATATATATATACACACACACACACAAGAACACACAATTATTTTACATTATATGTAATAAGTATATATGAATGCAGCCACATGGAGATTAGCATTGTAGCATGGATCAAGGGATTGCTTATGACCCATAACTTAAAAACACCGGAATAGAAGCCTCCCCAATACGTTGAAATTTCAACAAATATATATATATATATATATATATAGCTATTGAGATTTGAGTCTTGACCTTCCTTGGGTTCATCCATCACCTCAAAGTCCAAACCCTACACGCGCGCACAAACACACATATATATTGCTAATTATTTTAATTTAATCATTAACTCGATGCTTTCAACAGGTTTCAATTTTTAATTTTTCATCAGGGTATACCATTTGGTGGGTCCAGTAGTTACATCTGCGAGATATATATGATTATATATGTGTGTGTCTGTGTGAGAAAACAAAACTTATATGTCATTTAATTATTCTGATTATCAATACAAGCTTACCCTTAACTAGAAGAAGAAAAAAAAAAAAAAAAACTTGTATGTCATTAGATGCTTAATTGGTTGTGTTAAGAAGTTAATAAGATCAAATTGTTACTTATAAATATGAAAAATGGTAGGGTATTTTAAAATGTCACTTAAAAATTGAAGATTTTACTGTGTTTTGGTATAAATATTTTCGTGCTAGAGCAATGTAATAATTACAAAAATTATTAAAATACCTTCCAAAAAAATTCGAATAAAATTAATATTAGTTATCGTGTAATCATATATGCCACACATGTAAAACGTTCTATGCAGTACAATATGTCTTTTAAATGGAATATGTGTTACTATGTTTGTTATTCTTTGAAATTTTGTCACCTTAATTATTAATAGTCCTTTTATTCATTTTCTATTCTCAATGCATGTTATGGTTCATTAATTTTGCAATAAATTGAAAAGTAATTAATGAGACCAATCTACATCATTTCAACTTGTAAATAATAATCACAGAAATTTAATTTTCAAAACGACATCTTAGTACATCTTCCATATTTTTCTCACTTTGTTTTTTTTTTTTTTTATGTTTTTTTTTTTAAATGTAGATAAATTTAATGGGAGTAGCAGTAATACCATAGTAGTGATTGTCCCAATTTCATTCCCTATGTGAAATAAATACAACAATAAATTCCAGTATATGATTCCCTGTACCTCATTTCTGTCCAACGCGTTTACATTTTATATATATATACATATCTTCTTAAATTTCAGGTCAAGAATAGCGACGCCAGAGGCACGTGGCAGTGACGTGTTAGGAAGCACAGTCATTGCGTGCAACCTGGAATGAATTCAACGAAAAGAAAACACAAACGAGAAGAGCAAAATGTGGAGAGACTGAGAAGTAAAGAAACCAATAAAAAGTTTTGGCGGTTTGAAGGAATATTAATGGCGAAGATCGTGTGGTTGCAGAGTCAGATACATATTTTCAACTATTCAAGTGGGGTGTAATAAAAGATGGGTAGGTCTAAGTTTTTAATATTGCTTTCAATATCCACGTACACAAACAAAAAATAATACTATATATATATATATATTAACATTCATTGTAAGATATAAATCCTATGAATGATGATCATATTCTAGAGAGAGAGAGTCTAGAGAGAGAAGGAGGGGAGCAAATCCTCATTACAAGTCATTTTCTGACTTTCCTTTCCGTGTTGGTGCTTAAATTGTTTTTTTTTTTTTTTTTTTACCTAGTAATGGTGGTGTAGTTTTTCTCAGTGTTGATCATTTTTGGCACTGAATGAAATGGGTACTACTTTTCCAAGGGAGAGAAGATTGTTTTTCTCAACATCTCTCATTCTCTTAATATTTACTGTGATTTTGTTCCAAGAATTTTTCGCGGTTTCGGGTTTGAATTACACAAAATATAGACATGTTGGGAGGTTGAGACGTGATAGGATTGAGAAACATCTTGAGAAGATCAACAAGCCAGCCGTCTTAACCATAGAGGTAAGTATTTGTGTTTCTCTCTCTATATATATATACAGTATATTTGTGTATTTATATACATTTTGGTTATTTATTTGATATGTGTTTTTCTTGCTTTGATTGATTTTATCAGAGCCCAGATGGAGATATCATAGATTGTGTCCATAAGAGAAAACAACCAGCTTTAGATCATCCCCTCCTAAAGAATCACAAGATCCAGGTACACAATTAAACCATAAACAAACTTCACTCTCTCTCTCTCACACACACACACAAAATTGTTACATTTTCTTCTTTTTTTTGGGTAAGTATTGTTACATTTTCTTTTATGTAGGAAGTCTAACTGCAAATCTAAATACATGGTTCATGCATGGTTTTAATTTTCAACGACCAACTTCTTAATTAATTTCTCCAACAACAAATATGTACACTTCTATATATATATATATGAATAATGCTACATAAAAATAGAATTTGGAATTATTTATCTTTGTCAACACACGATTTAGTAACAAAAATCGATCCAAACTTCTATCATATGTATATATATATATATGGGCTATGTTTGGTGTTAATGATGATATTAGTTGTGTTTGGTTTATATGTGTATATATATATTATATATGGGCTATGTTTGGTGTTAATGATGATATTAGTTGTGTTTGGTTTATATGTAACAGAAGGTTCCACCAGAAAGGCCCAAGATGAGAGTGATGGAAGAAAATGTAGAGAGAAAATTCAATGGGAGTGGTGGTGAGGGAGTACCAAGTAGTGGTGCATGGCAAACGTGGCAACAAGATGAAAAACAGTGTCCGAAGGGCACCGTTCCTCTGCGGCGGAGCACACTGCATGATGTTTTGAGGGCCAAGTCTTTGTATGACTTTGGAAAGAAACAGAGAAAATCAGCGTCTCTTGCAAGACGCAGTGATGCACCGGATGTAGTCAGCCAAAATGGCCATGAGGTATGCTATCATTTCCCATCCCATGACAGATATATATATCACCACAACTACCAAATTACTACCAAAAAAAATAAAAAAAATTACTTTAATGTTCTTGAAAATTCGATGATATGGTATAATCATTAGATTAAATATTGATACATAGAGATATTACGTTAAAGTCGAATCACTTACAATTGTCTAATGCAATAAAGTGGAGTGAAAAAGTTCGTTACAAGTGTTTGGAGTCTTTAGATTGAAACGTAGCTGCATTTTAGATTGTACGGGTTAGCTTCGATCCAATGGTTCAGGAGCTGGACACATGAGTTCTATGCATAGGAGGTCTTGTGTTTGACTCTTTTTGAATTGTCTAGCTGATAAATGTGTTGAGCGGTTATATATATTCGAAATTTACCTAATAACCCCAAGTCCAAAAGTCCGTACCTCCGTGATTGTGAAGGTTCTCACATCATTAAAAAATAATAATAATAAAGCTTAGCTGCATTTTTATTTTTTCACAAGCCTACTCAATTGGTATATCCTTAAATTAGTAAATGTGTTTAATAGAGAAAATTGGTGAATCATCAATTAAAATGGGTAAAGCAATGAATTTTCCTAGTCCATTGACCTCCACGTGTTAGAAGCTTATTGGTTGGAAACATGATAAGTCACTGACTTATTTATTGCCAATATTTACTTTTGTACACCTACTACAATCTTCTTGACTTCTTTAATAAAAAAAGTAATTTTATTATTATTTCAATTGTAGGATTACTTTGAAATTATTTTCTTTTTATAAAGAAAAAAAAAAAAAAAAAAAGGGGAAAGTACGTGCAAAATTTTAGTGCAAAAATATTGTTCCATATATAGACCAAGTGATTAATTTTTATTTTTATAATATGAAATATACATATCATTATATAGCATGCGATAGCATACACGGGAACATCGCAAGAGGTGTACGGGGCAAAAGCGACATTGAATGTGTGGGACCCATTGATCCAAGTAGTCAACGAGTTCAGTCTCTCCCAGATTTGGATTCTTTCGGGATCATTCGACGGCTCTGATCTCAACAGCATAGAAGCTGGCTGGCAGGTACTTCCTCCATTTTCTGCTCTCTCACACACACAATCCAACATCTTTTTATATTATTTTTTCAATAAAATTATAATTCATTGAATTCAAATTTTTTCGAGAAAAATTATAAAAATATATTCATTGAATTCAACACCTCTTTATAGTTTATAAATATGTATATATGTATATGTATATATTTTGCGAAAGTTGGATTTTCTGAAGCTTTGATCCTTTTACTAGTCAGGTTAGTCCGGAGCTTTATGGTGATAGCAGGCCCAGATTATTCACTTATTGGACGGTCAGATCTCTCTCTTCTTTAGTTAGTGTCCCTCGATTCTTTGATTTAAATAATATGATTATTCAAATATATCATCTAATTGTGTGTAATATTGAAAATTAATTGTATCATTCTGTTGAGGTGATCATGGCATGTTGTATGATGTGAAAGTGTAGCGAAAAAAAATATTGATTTTGATTTTTTCACGTGATTAGCATTTACTTCCACTGTTTCAAAAAAATGTTTTTTCTAGGGAATCGTGACTCACATTCTCATTCTAAAAGAGACATTTTTTTTTGAATAAAAATAATATAAGAAAATAAAATAATTTTTGTTGAGGTGTGGGAGCAGTCGACAACATTCTTGATTTGTAGACTGAGGTGCCCAGGTGAGTTTTGGTGTCAGCCAAAAATAAATAAATAAAATAATTTTTTTAAATTTCCATGATCTTACATTTATTTTATATTTGATCCGAGAAAATAGTATATCCTCAAATTTCGAAAATATCAAATGAAGGTGATGTAGGCGGGTGTGAACCCATCACATTGAGATTAGGTGGTGGGCTCATATTCCACTCGCATAGTTACCCTCCGACCTCCCTTCAATCTGAAGGTGTTCATTGCTCTCTAATTAACTCACTTAAGCTAAACTCATTTGAATCAGCTAGACACATTTTATATGATATTATTTGTATATAATCATCTTTAATCTTATTTCAACATTCATTATGATCACTATAACCAATAGTAACATATTTATGTTTTTTTATTATATATTACAGAGCGATTCATATCAAGCAACAGGATGTTACAACCTTTTATGTTCAGGATTTGTACAAACCAATAGTAGAATAGCCATAGGAGCTGCAATTTCTCCGGTTTCATCATTTGGCGGCAATCAATATGACATTACAATTCTCATTTGGAAGGTTCTTTTAAGTTTTTTTATTCAAAGTTATTGAGTAATCTTTAATATTAAGATGCGCTAAGCAATATCGCGATCTTAAAAGCACAACTTTTTGATCTTATGGGTCCCACAGTGAGGGTCACTAATCCAAAGACATTAATTGTGGAGTCACAATTGCACTTAGCATTCCTCTTCAAGATACGTCACAATAACACTTACAATTCTGTGAATGTAGGATCCAAAGTTAGGAAATTGGTGGTTGGGCTTGGGAGATAACACATTAATCGGTTATTGGCCAGCGGAGATTTTCACGCATTTGGCGGACCGCGCCACCATGGTAGAGTGGGGAGGTGAGGTGGTGAATTCAAGGGTCAACGGGGAGCACACGTCCACCCAAATGGGCTCGGGCCACTTTGCCGAAGACGGGTTCGGGAAGGCGTGCTACTTTCGGAACCTAGAGGTTGTGGACTCGGATAACAGCCTCACCTCGGCCCAAGACATATTAACCCTTGCTGAGAACACCAATTGTTACAATATCAAGAGCACCTACAACAAGGAATGGGGCACACATTTTTACTATGGTGGGCCTGGGAATAATCCACAGTGTCCGTGACCATATCATAATAATTGTTGTTGTGCTATAAATCGCTTTCCAATATATTTGATTTTTTTCCATGTATAAAAAATATATACATTTAATATCAATTTTGCCTTTTTATTTATTTATTTATAAGTAGAGAGTTACACTGTGTTGGACACAGGATTTCATGAGAATTGGCTTTCAAAAGGAATTTCACTTTGTCTGAAAAATTCGGAAAATTTTGAAGAAATTTGACAACTAACTACTTACCAAAATTACCCTTCTAGAAACCGCTTTAATGTCTCTTCCACTGCAAACCACCTCATTCACATCTTTAATGTCTCTTAGCCTAAAATTGTGCAAAATTTATATTTGTTAAAATTTCTTTTTAAAAATTCCATTTTATTCCAAAGGACAAATATAATCCTATTTTAATTACAACCCAATTCTTATTTCAATTCCAAAAGAATTTGGTTCCAAACAGAGCCCATGGAGAATTGATTTATTTAGTTCTTTAGCTTTAGGAATGATTCATTTTAGGGTAAATTATACAGACACCCCTTGAGGTTAGGTCATTTTTTAACTAAATGAAGATTTTGGTTTTAACTTTCACTTACACCCCAATTTACTTTTTGGCCTCAAACACATGCAAATTGACTCTTTTACCCTCAAAATTTTAATACAAAATATCTTTCATCTTAAATGACAAAAACGCCTCTCTATAATTTTGAGTTTCATCTCTGCGGTCTCTCTCACCCACCCCTCCAACCACCACCGTAATCCTCATTGCACAACCACCAACACACTACCGCCACAACACAACCACCATACACCGCCGCCACAATGCAACCACCACACACCGCTGCCACAACGCAACCACGCCATACACCACCCACGCAACGCCGCCATGTCAAGCACACGGCCTCTGGGTCAAAGAAGACGTCGCCACAACCACACACTGCAACACCCACACGCCGCCTCAACCACATGGTGCCACACCGTAACACCCACACACTGTCGCCACATCAAACACGCCATAACCACCCACACAATCCCGCCACATAAAAGACGCCGCCTCTGGGTCAAAGAAGACACCGCCACAACCAGTCACACCCACACACGCACCACCACAACTACCGTCATACCCACACATAAACCACCAGTGAGGAGCTCGAATCTATAAGCACCAGAACGATCCCGTGCTGCACCATCGCTGAGTTCTTCGTCCCAATTGTCCCAATCTTGACTTGTACAGACTTCGTCTTTGACGGCGACCGAAGAACAGCGCTATCGTGGAGGGATTTTGAGAAAGAGAGAACGAGTCAGAGAGGGTTAGGAGGTGAATCGAAGAGATCAGGTGAGTTGGGTCTTGAGATCGATGTCGATTAGGAGGTGAATCGGAGAGGTTGGGAGTTCGGCGAGTTGAGTGTCGATGACTACACCTCTTCGACCTCGTCGACTGAGTTGATGTCGCCGCCATTCCGAGCTCGCCTGGCCACCGCCACTTACAATCCACAACCTAAACCCCATCATCGATCAAGGCGACCCCTATTTGACCGTTTTGTATGTGTGCGTATATATTATATATATATATATATATAGTTGTTTTATATGTGTGTGTATATATCTATCTATCTATACATATTATATCTCAAAAGTGAAATTTAAAACCAAAATGTTAATCTAGCTGAAAACTGACCTAACTTTAGAGGTCTGAGTGTAATTTACCCTTCATTTTATTATAGTGGGTTTGGGAACAATTCACAGGTCCAATCTGTCTCATTTGATGTTCCCCCCAAATTATAGAATTTAATGGAAAAAAATAAACAAATATTATATATATATATATATATATATATATATGTATGTAATACATATAATATAATAATATTAGTATAACATTTCCTTCTCATTTTTCCCATTTTCTCTATAAAGGGTTTGTTGCTTTGTGGATGCTTTAAATTCATCTATAGCTTTCTCTGTAAATCGCTTATATACACACACATACACAATGACACACATACACACACACACACACATATATATATATAGTTGTTTGTATATATATGGGTTTGTTAGACATTACATGCTCAATGATTCAAGCGTCCGATTCAGTTTATATTTAGAGAATCTTCTCTGCAAACCCGAATTTGTTTTTTACTTTATTTCAGCTTCTTTTTCATTCACTCTGTGCCATTTTTCTGTTACTATTTACTCCCCAATTCATGCATTTCTTACTCGTCTTGTAAAGATCCACTCCACCACATGGTATGATATTGTCCGCTTTGGGCCTGAGCCTGCACAGTTTTACTTTTGGGCTTTACCCCAAAAGGCCTCATACCAATTAGAGATAACACCACCACATATAAGCACTTTACCTTTCCCTTATCCAGACGATGTAGGATTATGCACCCGTAACTCGCCCAGTGTGGTAGCCTGCTAGTGTCTCACACCTGCCCACGGTACACCTGCTCATAAGGTCGTCACAATTCACCCCGTATGAGGCTCGACGTCCCTGTCGACACACTTCCGACTAGGTCATGCTTTGAGACCATTTGTAACGACCCACTCATCACCCCCTCTTTGGGGCCCAACGTCCTCGTTAGCCACACTTTTGGCTAGGTCAGACTTTGATACCATTTGTAATAACCTAGTCCACCACATGATATGATATTGTCCGTTTTGAGCATGAGCGCGCACAGTTTTACTCTTGGACTTTACCCCAAAAGGCGTCACACCAATTGGAGATAACACTACCATATATAAGCACTTCATATTTCCTTTACCCAGGTGATGTGTGATTGTGCACCCGTAGTTCGCTCAGTGTAGTAGCCTGTTAGTGCCTTGCACCCGCCCACAAGGTCGCCACAATAACCCCTTCTTTGGGCCCAACGTTCTCGTTGGCCACACTTCCTGCTGGGTCATGCTCTGATACCATTTGTAATGACCCACTCTATCACATGGTATAATATTATCCGTTTTGGGCCTGAGCTCGCACGATTTTATTCTTGAGCTTTACCCCAAAAGACCTCATACCAATTGAAGATAACACCACCACGTATAAGCATTTCACCTTTCCCTTACCCAGGTGATGTGGGATTGTGCACTAGTAACTCGTTCAGTGTGGTAGCCTACCAGTGCCTCGCACCCACCCACAAGGTCGCCACATTTGTAACAACCCACTCCACCACATGGTATGATATTGTTCGCTTTGGGCCCGAACTCGCACGATTTTACTCTTGGGCTATACCCCAAAAGGCTTCAATTAGAGATAATACTATCACATATAAGTACTTCACCTTTCCCTTACCCAGGTGATATAGAATTGTGCACCTGTAGCTCGCCTAGTGTGGTACCTTGCTGTGATACCCCTCGGATCCGAGATACGGGTTGATCAGGCCCAGGCCCAAACCCGAGGGAATATCAAACAATTAAAGTATTTTAAAGCGAACACAGATGACAAAATGAAACAAAAGTGATGGAATAAAACTGAAAGTAACATTAATTATAATATCCTCCATGTATAACTGAAAATTGAAAATCCAATCCTCCAAAACTTCAAGGTTACAACTTGGGAATCCACTGATGGACCCCTAACCAAAAGTTCAACTGAAACTGAAAACTGAAAATAGATAATGCTAGAAATATCGAGAGAAGTCCTACGTAATCAGACGAAGGTGAGACTGTCCTCGACAAGCACGATCAAGCTCTAAGGCTGGAACCGTCCTGTACCTGAAAAGAATAATAAAGGAGTGGGTCAGACCCACGAGCAAGTTCTAATCTAACTGCAATCCATACAGTGACCCGATACGCAGATACACCGTAGACACCTCACAATATCTATCTAGTCCATACGTATAAATATATCCACACTAAGGGACATTCACCAGTCTATAATAGGGGTCTCAACCTGAATAGAAGGCAACATGCGAATACGCACCCAAAGGTGGGCATGAGTACCTAGACCTAACAGGGTACACCTCAACCTATTATAACCAGCTACGCATCCACTGCATATACGCACCCTAACCAACGAGTCTGAGACTCAAGCTCAACTCGTGGTACCATAACCATATATATAAAGTCCGTCCAAATCCAGGATATGCAGTTCAACTATTTATTAAACTGTCATACAATAAACCAACTAGTTAGTCATTCAACTTATTCAGTTGATATGACTTAACTACCATCCGTTAATCCAGGAAGTCATCCAACTTGTTTACAGCTGATCTGACTTAGTCACAATTAGGATTTAATATCTTTCAATCCATTCCATTAATCCATTAGGTTAGGTTTACGCGTTTTGAGCTAAACCGTCCCTAGTATGTCACCGTCCCATGCCGGTACATACCATCCTCCATATCCATGTAAATTACAACATATATAACAGTTCAATAATTTACAGACCAAAAACTACCATCCAAACAATTGCAGAAAACTATTTAAAACTTCAGCAATTTAACTCCAAGCATTTAACCATATAGTTGCAGGAGACGATTTAACAAATCAACACTAACATCCAGAGCATGCATAGACCAAATTTAATATGTCAGGGACTCCATCATGCATGTGAATAGGTTAAATAATCCTATTATTAACCAATAAATTGCTAAAACAATTCAGAAGATTGTTTAAATATTTCAGCAGTTTAAATCCAAGCATTAACCATATAGTTGCAGTAAACAAATTAATAATTCAGCAACTAGCCTCCTAAGCATGCATAGATCAAAATTAATAATTAAATGACCTTATCATGCACTTGAATGCATTCTAAAACAAGTTTTATAAACACATTATGTTCCATCAAATTGCTGAATTTTAATTCAACAATTAATTCAACTTCCATGTGTTAAGTGCCTTAATTTTTACACTGTTTGTCCCAACAACTTAGAATTAAACTTTACTCAATTTAGGGTCTTAATAACACTCAAAATTCATTCCTTGATCCCTCTGTAAAGTTCCAAATTCATTCAAACAGTCTCCATGCTCCAACAGTGAACATAGTATGTAGAAAATAAAAAAAAATCGTAAAAGAAATTAAAAATAACAAGGGAGCCTGCTCCAGAATTTGGAGCAGGCTCTTTTCCAGCCTAGAGCCGGCTCTAGGACTTCCTAGAGCCGGCTCCACTTTGTTGTGGGAGC